TACGAAGTTACGGAAAATCAGTTAATTAAAAAACGGAGACGTAACAGTATTTAGGCCTAACCTATGTCTAAGGTGGCCAAACCTTGTGAGATATTATTGGGATTATGGCCGAAAATATCGTTAACAGCGAGGATTCTCGACTACTGAAATAATACACTCTGATCTTTATAAGACAGAACGTAAGAAAAATATATTTAGTTAGCTATACTGATTGCCAGTGTGATTTGTAACTTCGCTCGAAGTAGGTAGCTTGCTCTGATCCGAAGTTTATATCAATTAAACATTGTGCTTCATTTTACTCCGTCGAAATTCGAATGTTTACAAAAATCCTGTTCCAAGCGACAGATTGAAAATATTACAAGCTGCATATTATACATTCCCGACTAATATAAAGCATTTTTTTGTTTTATTTGGTACTATATTAATGAAGTATAAATTTGTTATTAAATCCCAGACTCAACGTTTACAAATTTTGTATTTACATTCAACGTCCCTGGATTATCGTACGTTTTATTTCAAAAATTAATTCCACGTTCCAAGAACAGGGCGTGTTTTCTCTCAGATTACAATATGATGGTACGTATGTTGTTTTATTACACAGTGGTAGTTGATATTAGTTTATCGTGGCAAATAAATATTAAAATAGAACATCAGTACAGACTGATATTCTTATGGTATTCGTGATTGTTTGTTTCAAGACTTTTATAATATGGTTATAATTCATACGTGTGTTTGTTTACGCGGAAATAAAGCGGAATTTGTGGTGCACGAGACAGAGTCATATATCACTCACAGCGCCATCTCTTAAAGACAACACTAACTACTTTGAGTATGTTCTGGACAAATGAATCCTAAAAGACCTTTTCCAACTAATTCAGTCACAGATGACTTAAAACAGTTTATAAACACCTCGCTTCTAATTTCACACACAAAAAAAAATATACCGTACGAACAGGTTTGTATTTCTATTTTAACGAGGGGAATCGAACACCGGATTTTAGCGTTTTAATGCGGTAAACTACCGCTGACCCAACGGGGGATCGTAAAAACAGGAGGAATAACCACACCATGTTGCTACAATAATCACATTAGATTATAGTTGCTACAATAATCACATTAG